CCCTCCTGGTCAGCCAACGGCTCCTTCTCAGCGCCCCTGTCCTACTCCCCTGCTGACCGTGCAAACAACTCCATGTCCATAATAGCGAGTACAGCGTGTAAGGTAGGTAGATATGTGCCTAGAAGCGCAAATAGACACCACTACATAGCAGACGAGCTATTGGAGGAGACGAAAGGCTGTATCTTGAGTAGCCCTGCTGGCCAGCATCAAGGCCATAAATTTGCTAACTTAGTTATTGTTGACTGCTTAGCTTCCCAGGGCACGCGGAGTCAGGAAGAACGGCTTGGCACAGGCATTTTGTTCGACCGGTTGCTCCCGCACCGCCGCTCCACGAGATTAGCGGACCCCACCATCTTTCAGCGGTCTGGCTAGAATTTGCCTAGTAAGCCGCAGCCCGGTCCTGGCGGCCGATACCTTAGCAAGCTTAGCTAGCTTGGGGGCGGTTGGTTGGTCAGTGCATTTTGGCCATTTTATCTCGTCAAATTTCGGAGCTCCGTCCCTCCTGGCGTTTTCTGTACTTTGCTTCAGACTGTCTAGAGATCTTCATCAGCACTCCTCGTCCCGGTCTTGTTTCGGTCTTTCTCTGAAAAGACCTGTAGACATTGCCCCCAAATTCCTGCCGTGTCTTGCTCTTCTTCCTTTGCCCTAGGCTCCTGACCTTCGTCCCGGGCCAAACGTCTAGCATACCATACCACTGCCTTCGCCAGTACAGCACCCAATTGGCGCAATGGCGGCTACAGAACAGCCTGCGGGCCCTCTCAAGCTCCCTCTTGGCTCCCCCACGCCGACGAGCAAGCCGGTGCAGGCTGCCGCTCTCACCCCAGACCAACAGCAGAAGTACGACTGGGTGCTGGAACAGGTCAAGGCCTGGACCGAGGTGCCTTCCGCCAAGGACAAGGCCGGCCCTATCACAGACAAGGAGAGGTTCTGGCTCACTCGCGAGTGCCTCTTGCGCTACCTGCGAGCTACCAAGTGGCACCAGAAAGATGCGGTCAAGCGCATCCTCGAGACCCTGACCTGGCGGCGGGACTACGGCACCGACGAGGTGCTGACAGCCGAGCACATCTCGCCCGAGAACGAGACGGGCAAGCAGATCATCGTCGGCTATGACAACCAGGCGCACCCATGCCACTACCTCAACCCCGGCCGCCAGAACACTGACCCCTCGCCTCGCCAGGTCCAGCATCTCGTCTACATGCTGGAGCGCGTCATCGACCTGATGCCGCCGAACCAGGAGAAGCTGGCGCTCCTGATCAACTTCAAGTCGAGCAAGACGCGGACCAACACGGCGCCGGGCATCGGCCTGGCACGCGAGGTGCTCAACATCCTGCAGACGCACTATCCTGAGCGCCTCGGCAAGGCCCTGATCATCAACGGTATGTCCAATCCCCTCATCCCGAGCAGCGCTAGACAGAACGGCTAACCACTTTCCGTAGTACCTTGGGTGGTCTGGGGTTTCTTCAAGCTCATCACCCCCTTCATTGACCCCTTGACCCGCGACAAGCTCAAGTTCAACGAGGACATGCGCCAGTATGTGCCCGAGGAGCAGCTGTGGACCGAGTTCAACGGCAAGCTTGATTTCGACTACGATCACGAGGTCTACTGGCCTGCGCTCGCCGCCTTGTGCAAGGAGAGGCGCGACGCCAGGTGGGAGAAGTGGATCGCCGGAGGGAAGCACATCGGCGAGCACGAGGACTACCTCGCAGGCGCATCCGACAAGGGAGTCTCTGGATCAGTCCCAGCCTCAGCCGCTGCCGCTGACGAGGCGCTTGCCGAGAAGACGGGCGAGCTGGCCATCTCAGACTCCGCCCCGGCCCCGGCCCCGGCTACTTCCGCTGTCGCTGATGTTGCCACGAATGGCGAGGCGAAGGAGGCATGAACAGCGCGCTAGGTTTCCACATTGCTAGCGCGGCGGCTGGGGGGTGATAGACAAAGAACTGGTAGACAGCGCTTGCTATTGCGTACTAAACGATTTTAATGACTGCTAATACAATTCCATTCTCATCTATGCATTATAAGCACTTAGGTTCTCCTGTGGCCTCTCAGCACATTAGCTTGTGAGTATGTTGAAAGTCAAATGCCTCGACCATGGACATGGTGTAGGTCAGCGCGGCACACACGACCATGACGTGCATGATCTGATGGCTCGCTCCGAAGAAGTCGAAACGGCGTGGGAACCACTTCTCGGGAAACTTTACAAGACGTCAGCGATGCTCTTCTCTGCTCGACCGGCGAAGGAACAGCGGCACAACAGACCTTGAATGTGTAAGCGACAACGCCCAGGCCATTGCACACTACCGTCGCCCCGATCCATCCCAGTCCAATCCGAGGGCCTTGCGTTTCGAGCCCGTGCAGTAGGATTCCATGCGCAATAGGCGCAACGAAGCTCCCGAGACCGAAGGAGCCGAAGAGTAACGCCCGGTACGGCCCCAGGTGGGGGCTACTGAAGACCGGCAGGAACGTCGCGGCACTGCATAACACAGCGAGGATCGAGGTGACGATTCCGTACCCCATCCGCAGCCTGGGGTGGCACGGGAAGCTGTGGTAAATGAGTGGGATAGTGGAGCTCCACATGAGCAAGAGAATGCCCTGGAAGTCAAGCTTCATGCCGAGAAGATACGCATGGTGCGAGTGCGACATGAAGGTGTGGAAGCTGCGCCGGTTAGACACAGAGGTAGCAGGGGCAGCCGCGGTGGCTAGTCACAGCATGGGGAACAAACCAGGTAGACAGGACAAAGCAGACGGCCACGCCGACTAGGTATATGGTGCATACCAGGACCTCGGTGTGGGTGGCCTCGCTAAGTCGAGGCGGTATGGTGGCCGCGAAGATGGCTACCGGCAGACAGAAGAATACGGCGGCGCCTAGGATATGGGAGTATATATTGACTGCGCGAGGTTAGAGAGTGTGACCGGGTATCGACTACCGCTTGCATACCTGTCTCATTGTGGATGTAACTCCAGCTCTTGAGGCACTCCAAGGCCGACCCCGAGGCTTGGCTGCGGGAAGTGAGTGGTGGCATCGCCTTCAGGGGTTCTGTGCGCGCTCACCGATATCCCGTGTGGATTAGCTCGCTTCCATGTCTATCTCTGTGATCAGCCGGGTCAACAAGTCTCTCACTCCGAGACCTTACTGTTGCCAGTGCGCTGGGGGGTGTTAGCTGTGTGTGCTATAAGTTTCTAGGAAAAGGAGGAACCGACGCAGATCTACCCAATTCAACAACTTCGGCTCGGCAGCCTCGCTCTTCTTGTCTCGGTCTCCATCTCTCCTCCGGCCATCGGGGACCAGCCATCTGCGCCGGAGAGAGGCGACACGGTTCGAGCCTGCATTGAGGGCCTTCATGAGGGGATAGTGTGGGCAATCCACGCAAGACACGAGACAATGTCGGCCTAAAAGCCAGACGTCCAGTGCCTTCGAGGACTTTCAAGACATAGGGATGACCGCGTATGGGTTTCGTTTGTTTGGATGCTGGCGCTGGCGCGCAAGCAAAACCTCGGACCTTGGGCGGTCAAGAGGGACCGGGCACAATCGGAAACAGACCCGTTGGTGTATCGAGCCGCCCCTGGAATCTCAGCGATCCGAGCCGCCGGCGCACTGACGATCTGCAACGGCGTCGCGTAGTATTGTGGGGAGCTTGAGGTGGGCCGCACCACCCAAGAACATAAGACCCCCCGAAGGGGTTCCCTGCATTCACTTCCCAAGTTCCCAGCAAAGCCCGCACCGTGCGGTGGCAATAGATAGATGCCATCCAAGTGGCAGAACACGGTCAAACATTATTACGAGCTGCTACTTCCAACAAAGAGATATGAGTCGTTCCGGCCTCGGTAAACAATGACACCACTACGAGGAAGAGGTATCAAGCCAATTTGATTCTGCTTGTGTGAGGAGCGGAACCATAGGGGAAAGCACCATAACCCAGAGCCCCCTTGTATGTGCCCTAAAACTGGGGGTAAATGCCAACCACTAAATTCCAGCCGACCTCCGCGCCTATGCATTAAACGACTCGATTGGTGTCCACCATATCTCAGCGACAGCTATAGCAGACGAAGAGACCGTTCGGCGGGCCATCGGAGAGGGCAAGATACAACCACAACCTCTCGAGCCCCCTCTGGCAAGGATTGATCCAAGAACCGTCCTCAACCAGCCCGCATTTAGCGTATAGGAACGAATACATGATGCCTCAAGCAGTAAAGAACAGGAACTCTATCCGTCCTATGCTCATGCATTCATCACCTTAAGCAATAACACTAACAAATCTATCTCTTCGTACTACTTCGCCCAAAAACGGCAGTCACAAACCGGTAGCCCAACAGTTAAAACTAACAGATCACTGGGCAATCTAATAGCAGGATGCACGAAGATCGTTAAATTTAGCAACTATTCATCATATATACTTGTTTAAAATTTTAGGTTGTATATTCGGAAGGAATACTTCAACCTGCCAGCTGGGGAGGAAGTTCTTATTCGAGGTTGCTTAGAAGACAGCCTACAAAGCAATTGCTCTGCCGTCAAAGCAAAAGAAGGGAACCCTGCGCGGCGATTCCGTCTTCAACTAGCGAGATTTAATACCGTCAAATTTATCAATAGTCAACTTCTGGGTGTAGATAGATACTCGCTAGATGTTCCTTGTAGCATGAAACACCCCTGGTCTTCCATCCCGACTCGCCTAGTCTCTATATGGAACCAGGTTTGAGCCAGACATATCAAGATACTTTGACTACCGAGGCCATCAAGTCTCTTATGTCAGTGCTGCCGCAACAGCAGTCCGCTAGCACCACAATCTTCTCGCAGCCATGGACAACAGAGGTGAGCTGTAAGGGAAACGCTCAGCCAGAAGCAAGTAAAATTAGGTTATAACGGTATGTTTGTCTGCCGCACCCACTTGTATGCAAAAATATGTAACTTTTTTGGTCTCCCCCCCGTACCCTACTACCTTCTAAGGGAGGCCATGAGTTTAAAAATAATGGGCGACTCCTTGGAACTAAGGGAGCCAGAGCAAAAATGCATGAACCGGGAGTCGAACCCGGAGCCTAAGCAATGTCCCGGTTGGGAAGCTTAGATGTTACCGCTACACCATCCATGCTTGCGGAAATTTTACCCGCTACACTAGATATTCCGCTTTGGAGCATCTGGATTCGTCGAAATCAACTTCGTATGACTAAATAAATCATGGTCACATGAATGGCCACTCAAACCACTAACTTACCGTACCCCTCGATTGTGAGACAAGGGTCGAAATTCAGTGGGCTTCGAAGTGCGGGGCCTAAACTCGGTGGGTGCTCCAAACCTCCGACCGTCTCCAAAAGCTTTTCGTCAGCGCCTGAAGCACACTGGCGCCGAGGCTGCTCGACTCGTAACCCCTCCTCCCTCCGGACACCAGCAAGCAGAACCGCAAGCATGGCTGCCAAGGCCGACAAGATCGAAAAGATCATCACTCGACTGCAGGAGCGCATTGGCGAGGGTCAGTTCTACGAGGCGCAGCAACAGACGCGGGTTGTGGCCGCTCGCTACACAAAGGCCGAGAACTGGCCGGCTGCCATCGACATTCTGTTTGGTGTCTCTCAGTCCCTGCTCAAGGCCGGTCAGGGCGGCAGCGGAGGTGATCTAGCCCTCCTGCTCGTCGACGTATACGAGAAGGCCGAGCTGAAGCCGGATGCGGGCTCAAAAGGCAAGCTGTTGACGTGCCTCCGGCTGTTCGACAGCGAGGAGCCGACTCGAAAGAAGTTCGTGGACAGAGCAGTCGGGTAGGTTTCCAGCCTCACGAGCAATAAATGCCGATGAGTGGCATACGAGATGGAAGCGACTGCTAATCTGACTGTTACTCCCAGCTGGTCCTCCAAGTTCGGCGAATATCCAGCGGGCGACCCCGAGCTGCATCACGTCACCGGATCACTATACGCCGAAGAGCACGAGACATACGATGCGGAACGACATCTTGTATTAGGGACCAAGGACTCAACAGAGATCCTAGCGCGCATGGAATACGAATGGTACAAGGAGGACGATGCGCACACGGCTCCTCTGTACGCCGCCCGTGCCATCCTACCCTATCTTCTCGTCGCCAACCTCCGGGCTGCGAACACTTCCTACCGCACTTTCACGAGCGCGCTCAGCTCCGATAACCAAGGCCTGAGCGTCCAGGACGTTAGCTCGCAGAACGCAGACCTCCGCGTGTTCCCCAGCCTGCCGCTGCTCAACTTCCTCGGGCTCTTGCTGCTGGCGGTACAGAAGGGCAGCCCCGATCTCTTCCGCCAGCTGAGGAACAAGTACTCGAGCAGCATCTCGGAGCTTAACGGCGCCTGGGACGAGTCACTCGATCTGATCGCCGAGATGTACTTCGGCATTCAGCGGCCCCGACAGAGCAACCCCCTGATGGACATGATGAGCGGCCTCTTTGGAGGAGGTGCGCCAGGCGGGGCAGCGGGAGGAAACCGGCCCCAGGCCCGGAGGGTGCAGGGAGCGCCCGCCTCTGAGGGACTAGACTAAGCCGACTTTCGGCCCACCCATAGACGTGAATCCGTGACTTAGCCAGGCGTAGGCATGATGAATCATTGCCCGGTCACGAGCGGAGAGGCAACAAATAAAAACTAAGAGACACCACTTTCACTGGTGCCGTGGCATTTCCTCGCGTTCGTACATCCAGTTGTCCTCTGCCAGGGCGGCGACCTTGGCCCGGAGACTGGCCCGGACGGCTTCTAGAAGCTCTGCGGCCCAAGACTGCATCAGGTAAAGCACCCTGGCGAAAGGGGGGCAAAGTACGTGTGGCGGGGGGTGACATACCTTCAGGCTGGGCAGGAACACTATTCTGGTCAATCTGATGTTGTTTCACCGCCTCGGCCAGCCGCTGCCTCTCTCTTTCGTTCTCGTGGCTTGCATCCAGCGCCATCTCGTCTGGGTCATCGACCGGCGGGGTTGGGGGGTCGCCCAGCTCGATTTCGCCGTTTTTGTCGCGAATCACGATGTCGGCCGATTCAGACTGGACGTCGGAATCAAGGCGAAGGGTCTCGTTCGAGGTGGTGGAATTGGAGGTCGGCCGTCGCGTGAGCTGGCTCTGGAAGAGGTTGCGCCGGACGTTGGTGGTAATGTCGCCTCGGGGCTTAGAGATGCCACTTCCGATGGGGCGCGGCGGAGGGGCGCGACGGTCTGCCATGGCTAGAGAAAATGCGCGTGGTATCCCCAGCGCCGAGTAGTAAGAATAAGGTCTTTAGGGAACTCGAAGGTTGGCGTGACGAGCTTGGCGTCGACTGTGTTTTGTTTGTCGGTGCGAGTAGAACAAAAACAATGGCCCGGTTGGCGGGGTCTGTCTCCAATTGGGTTCAAAGATGCGACGGCAGGCCAGGCCTAAGCTACCCCGCCTGTCCGTCTACGTGTATACCTCAAGTGGGTGCCACTAACGACACTACCGGCCAGCGGCCAAGACCATTGCTGGAAATGTTAGCGCCGGTTCGATGCCTGAATATCTTGGCCCATGACAGGCTTGCAAGAGTCTTTGATCTAGTTTTCGTCTTTGACAGATTCAAGTCTTGTTTTCTACGGCCGTTTTCCTACTCTCCGGCCTCGAAGCGCGCGCTCCCTAAAGGACTCGCCGTCTCTAACTTCTCACATCTCACTTCTTAGCTCGTAGCTCGTAGCTCGTAGCTTTTGACCCCTCCCTCCTCCGGCTCTGCTTTGGCTCAGCTGCCCCACCATCACCTCGCCTTCCCTTACCTTGCTGCATCCAAGGTCGACAAGTCGAGTCACGCTCACCACTTTCTCCCGCCACAACCCATTTCTTCCTCGTCTTCTTCCCCTTTCCTCCCTTCTTCCCCAAACCCGACTCTATATTCTTAAGCGACCTCCCAATGGGCTCTTTTCAGTGAAGTCGGCACAGCTCAGGCTGTGTATCTATCTCGACCTCGACTCCCGCTAGGCTCGAGATAGAACTGCAAATCACCAAAACGACTGACTCACTGAGCTACTTCACGGACCACAACCATGGCTTGGAAAACTCCGGCCGGCCAGAAAAAGCCCGCCCAAACGAATCCCAAAAACGGAACCAAGGCCCCGAAGCCCACCAGCTTTCCAGGCCTCAAACAGCCTGAGAAGGGCGCACCAGGAGGTGGCGGGCAGACCAAATATGAGGAGCTCCAGCAGAACGAGGTCATGGTTCTCCAGGCCATTGTGCGTAACTTTCTCACTATCACCTCGCTCACCCTTTGGATGTTGCCGCATGTCATGCGCAGATCGCTCCTCCTGCTGAACCCAAGCCGAGGGAGGCCCAAGCTAATAAACACCCCGCCTAGTATGGAGACGATTTTATCGAACAGAAGCCGGCCCACGGCGCTTGGAAGAAATCTGCCGAGCCTTGCTTTGATATCCGAATCAAGGCTTCCTCAGACGATGAGCTTGCAATCACATTAGGCGTTGTGCTGGTGGCTACCTACCCCAAATCCCCCCCCTTGCTGACAATCAAGGAGGACGACGGGTTGCGTGAGTCAACCAAGTTCAAGATACAAAAGTTTGTCGAGACTCAACCCAAGTTGTTTGCTACGGAAGAACAAGAGATGATGGACCGCATCGTAGAAGGGATCCGCGACATCCTCGAAGATGCTGCCCAGATCAAGGCCCAAGGCCTAGAGCTCCCGTCTCTAGAAGAGGAGCGCACCGCTCACGAGGCTGAGGCCGCTGCCAAACAGGCAAAATTGGCCCAGGATGAGAAGGAATTAGAGGACAGGAAGAAACTACAGGAAACCCAAGAGGAAGAACGCGTTCTGGGCGACATGCTGCAGGAGGAGCTGAAGCGCCAGAGGACAAAGGCGAAAGAGTCACGGATGAAAAGCCGCACTCACCAGCCGCTATCCCCCCTTGGCTGGGCTGATGAGAACCCACAGGATTCTGACGATAGCATCATTTTCGATCAGATATGCCGGCTCACTGACCCGACTGGCAACCCTGTGCTCTTCAACAAGGTCACTAGGAAAGAGCTGTTCTGCATGGGGCCTATCACAACCGTGTACAAGGTCAAGCCGGTGCTAGCAGCTAAGCAGCTACGCCCGACCCTCGCGCTCAAGCAAGTCGAGCTCAAGTCAGGTAAAGACGCTGCCCAATTCAAGAAGCAGCTACAGGGCCTCGAGTCCGTTCTCGAGCTGGTCAAGAAGCTACGTCACCGGAACGTTCTAGAGATCATAGACTTCCGCATCGACCGGGAAGTCAGCGATGCAGACGCCCCCGTGCCGTCAACGACGTCGCCGCCTATCTGGACAGCAACCATACTTTTGCCCCTGGCGCAGAAAGGCCCCCTCGACGAGCTCTTAGAGCTGGCAGGGCAGATCGATGTGTCCAAGGCTCGTTCCTGGGTCGCCGACTTACTTGAGGCCCTCGGATATCTCCACAACAATGGAATCATCCACCAGGATCTGCACCCGGGCAACGTCCTCCTCTTCCGTGAGCCCACTGGCGACATTGTTCCCAAGATCGCCGACGCCGGCTACCAGCGCGACTTGCACAACATTTGCACAAAGCAGGCCTTGACGTCGACGCGTGCCGCCAAATCCGCGTACTGGTTTCCACCTGAAATTGCGAGTGTTTCCAAGCCGCAGTATACCCAAAAGACGGATGTGTGGGACTTTGGTATCGTCGTCCTGCAGATGCTCTTTGGCCTCGACGTCCTGCAGAAATACCACTCACCGGCCGGGCTGATGGAATCTTTGGCGCTTTCCAGCGCATTGCGCGAGCTGGTCTCCAAGCTCTTTAAAAGCGATGCGAAGAGACGACCGCGCGCATTTGACCTGGGAAACAGTGAGTTCCTTGCTACGGATGCGCCAGTGTTCGATAATGACGACTCGGCAATCATGGCGGGATCCCTCATATCTCTTCCCCAGTCCCTGCCACAGCGCCAGCGGCGCACTTCCACGAATACAGGAGGCATGACATCGCTCTCGCGTTACCAACAGGAGTACGTCGAGGAAGCTCGGCTTGGAAAAGGCGGGTTTGGAGAAGTTGTCCGAGCGCGCAACATGCTGAATGGACAGCTGTACGCCATCAAGAAAATTACACAGCGGTCACAGGAGACGTTGTCAGAAATCATCAAGGAGGTCCGCCTGC